CAGCTGCAGAGAAATCTGAATCATTCTCAAAATATAATTACAGTGGTAACTCGGGTTACAGGCTCTTCAGGTTCCAGACTCTGCTAATCCAGAAATAGTACCTCGGGTTAAGAACTTTGCTTCAGGATGAGAACAGAAATCGTGCTCCAGTGGCATGGCAGCAGTGGGAGGCCCCCATTAGCTAAAATGGTACCTCAGGTTAAGAACAGTTTCAGGTTAAGAACGGACCTCCAGAACGAATTAAGTTCTTAACCCGAGGTACCACTGTATAAACAAGTCTCTTACATAGGTACCTTGAGTATGTATACAAACTCAATAAGAGGTGTGAGCTTGCAGTATCCCTTGATGCTCATGCTTTCATTTTGAAAACAGTATCGATATTTTGCAAACAAAATTACACACACACACACACACACACACACACACACACACTATACTACACTGAAATGTTTAAATGTTTCTTTGAACCTTCCTACCACACTTGCCTTCCTCTCCTGCCACACCCTTTAAGAACCACTCATGTACAGAGAGCAACAGGCCAGGAGCTAGTCTCACCTGGAGCTGGGAAGATGCTCTGAGTGCTTCCAGACCTGTCGCAATTTTGGGGTGGGATTCAATCACCTCCCAGCAAATTCAGACTACACAATTAAAGCTTATTTGGAGCTCCTGAACAACATACCTCCACCTCTTCCTCCTCTTCCTCCTCCTCCTCCTTCTTGCAATAAGGGAAGTGTGGGATAACACTGGCTTTGATGCAAAGTCATTTAATCTACCCACAAACAAATGAGGCTGAACGCTCATTAAACAGCTCATCTGGAAATGACCGCAAATGCCTGACTAGCTGTCTGTGCTAAAACAAAAACTAATGGGGGGAGCAAGATCTGTTGGACTGTTGCTGCTCAGAGCCCCTCCATCTTATGCTCAGCCTGTGTATATGTGTACATAAAGCCATCAATCACAAAGGCATCACAGTCTCTGGTAACCTTCATACCAAAGAAACCAAACCATGCGCTGGTGCTACTGAAATTTCCCACTGCTTCAAGATTGGGGTATGCGTTGTTGGCACCCATTTGTCTCGAGAGACAATGGAGTGTGCCTCTGGAGGTGAAGTCAAATCGCTACATCAGCAGCACCTAAGTGACACCCCCCCCCCCGGGCACAAGTCTAACAGCACCTTTAAAATGTTGGGGATTGGTGTGTGTGTGTGTGTGTGTGGAGATAGAGAGAGGGAGGGAGGGAGCAGGGGGTTGCAAAAAATATATAGTCTGATTAACTGTTGGTTTTGAGAATACAGCAACATAAGGTTTATTACTCCTAGCAAACAAAGCCATTCTGTATACAAGCTTAAAGTTAAAGGTAAAGGACCCGTGACGGTTAAGTCCAGTCACAGACGACTCTGGGGTTGCGGTGCTCATCTCGCTTTACAGGCCGAGGGAGCAGGCGTTTGTCTGCAGACAGTTTTTCCGGGTCATGTGGCCAGCACAATTAAGCCGCTTCTGGCAAAACCAGAGCAGCACACAGAAACGCTGTTTACCTTCCCACCGGAGCAGTACCTATTTATCTACTTGCACTTTTGGTGTGCTTTCGAACTGCTAGGTTGGCAGGAGCTGGGACAGAGCAACGGGAGCTCACCCTGTCGCGGGGATTCGAACCGCTGACCTTTTGATCAGTAAGGCCAAGAGGCTCAGTGGTTTAGACCACAGCGCCACCCGCGTCCCCGTTTACAAGCTTACATGTGGTATAATAGCGTCATGAGGTTAAGAAAAGGTCTAACTGAGCTAGAGACGCAGCCGGAAGGAAGTAAAGTGTAATCAACAATCAACACAAGAAGGAATCAGTGAGGGAAGAATTGGTTGCAACTTTGTCTCTATCCATCCCTGTACAGTGGTACCTTGGCTTACGAACTTAATTCGTTCCGGAGGTCCATTCTTAAGCTGAAACCGTTCCTGGGGCAAAGTTTGCAACCAGGAGCAGCTACCTCCGGGTTAGCGGAGTTCATAACCTGAAGCGTTCATAACCAGTAGTGTTCGTAACCAAAGGCACCACTGTACAGGTATCTTGTTGCAAGCATTGTTGCTTTACTCTCATTTAAAAGACTCACAAAGTTATTGCGGCACATTTTTCATGGAACTCAGCCCGCCCAAAGGGCAGCTACTGTTGCTTCAAAACGTAAAACAAAAATACATAATGAAGAACCAAAAAAATGTAATACCATGAATAACCTAAAGCTAGCAATCAGAAATTAAGAGTTTTTAGATATTTGCAATTATGTTCTATTCCTAACTATCCTGGGCATTTATTCAGTATCGGGGTCTTGTTGCATTCCAGCATGTTTATTCCTGGGTTTGAAGTTGTAAAACTATAGAAACATGGAATTGTGGAGTTGGATGGGACTCCAAGGGTCATCTAACTCCCTGCAACACCGTTAGAATTAATGTAATTCACACTTCTCTGCACCACCCTGGAATCTTTAGATGATTGGCAATTAAGAAATATTTTTTTAAAAAAACAACAAGAAAGAAATAACATTAATTACTAGATTATGCACAAAAAAGAAACAGCGCTTGTCCACTGACACCTTTTGTCCCTTGAATCATTATCATCATGCCCACCTTGCTTGCGCTTTGTGCAAAAATAACAAAAAATAAAATCCGGCCCTGTGTCAAACTACCCTTCCTCTTGTCGTCATTTAAGCTGACATGAGTTTTAAGGAACTTATCAGGAGCTCCTTGTTACAACATGCTGAACTCTGACATTCAATACCTCTGATGTGAAGATTCATTCAACCTCCAACCGGCAATAATCCCCCAAAATGCGGCTTGCCTTCCTAATGTGCATCGTGTACTTTAAACCAAATGGCGACGGCTGTTAGCACAGAGATCCCTCGTGACATTTAGATATTTTACTTAATGTCATCTTCATAACGCGGCGAAATAAGACAGCTAAATGTCTGTACCATGCCCAACAGAGGCTAAATCAAATTCGGCATCAGCAGCAAACACTTCCCCCCATGTCTTATAGCTGCTAGCTGCTAATTAGAGCTATTTATCTCTCGCCGCCCCCCCCCAAAAAAAACCCAATACCACTGTTTGCATTGTTCCACATTTGCAGTGAGGCAAAGGAAGGGTGGAAACCAACAGGATTTACAAGGTCAGGGTGATCTTTAAACATTTTATATATATATACACAGGCAGTTTTATTCCATTTGCAGTCACTAAATTGCTTTAGCAATTTGGGAGCAACGGAACAATGCTACTCGCTATTTAAAAACAGCAACTCCTGTCACCTCATAAAGCTGTAACTAAGGGGGTCAAAATGTAAAAGAGGTTTTCAACAGTTCACTCCGCCACAGGGCATTTTAGAAAAAGATATATTTGGAGATACTGGGGGCAACAGCCTCGCAGTAACACAGGATTCTGGTGCTATGAAGCCCATTGACTATGCTCCAACTCCACAGTCCGAGGCAGTTATGCTCCTCAATGCCAGTCGCTGGAAGCTGCAGGACGGCAGAGTGCTGCTGAATTCAGGTCCCGCTTGCAGATTTCCCACAAGAACCTGAATGGTCATTGTGAGAAGAGGATGCTGGACTAGACAGGCCACTGGCCACATCCAGAAGGCCCTTCTTATGTTGTTCTGCTGGAAGAAGAAGGTGGAAGTCTAAGTCGGGGATGCATGCCCAAGGATTAAGAATTTCTGGGAGATGATTTACAGTGGTGCCCCGCAAGACAAATGCCTCGCAAGGCGAAAAACTCGCTAGACGAAAGAGTTTTCCATTTTTTGAGTCGTTCCGCAAGACGAATTTCCCTATGGGCTTGCTTCGCAAGACAAAACGTCTTGCGAGTTCTTGCGAGTTTGTTTCCTTTTTCTTAAAGCCGCTAAGCCGTTAATAGCCGCTAAGCCGCTAATAGCTGTGCTTCGCAAGACGAAAAAAACGCAAGACGAAGAGACTCGCGGAACGGATTAATTTCGTCTTGCGAGGCACCACTGTATAATGAAATGAAAAGGTATTTAAATATACCTTCCTGAAGAAACCAGAGGCCTTTCTCCTGGGCATGGTCGGCCAATTGGTGCCAAAGAAGGATAGAACTTTTTTTATGTATGCTACAAAAGCAGCAAGAATACTCATCGCAAAGCACTGGAAGACACAAGATTTACCCACCCGGGAAGAATGGCAGATGAAGCTGATGGACTACATGGAATTGGCGGAAATGACTGGCAGAATCCGAGACCAGGGAGAAGAGTTGGTGGAAGAAGATTGGAAAAAATTCAAAGTATATTTACAGAAATATTGTAAAATTAATGTATGTTAGAAGGATGCTGGAATGAAGTTACATGGTTTTAGCAGAAATGTTATAAAGAACTAAGTAAAAATAGATTGTTAATGGGCCAAAGTGTAAAATTTAAGGTCAGATTGTGTTAAGATAAATTATAGAACAAAAATTGAGAAAGATGGAAAGGATTTGCTGAAATAGCTAATTGAACAAGAATACAAAAAAGGGAGGTGTGAGGAGGTCGATGACACAAGTAAATGAAAGGTAGAGATATAGAGATATTGGATGTGTTTTTTTGAATGTTTTTGCTTTTCTTGTTGTTTTGTTGTATTGTTCTTTTTTCTCTCTCGTTTTTTTCCTCTTTATTTTTGATGTATTGTGAACTTTTTACTGTTTTCTTCTTTTTTTCTGTAACTATTAAACTTTTAATAAATATCTTTTTTTTAAAAAAAAAGAAGAAGTCTAAGTCGGGGATGAAACCACAAGGGAAGCAGAAGTCCAACCACAGATGCAGCTGCAAACTGGCACCCACAGGCAGCCAATTCCCTTGAGGCCTCCTTATAAGCCACAGGCCATATGGGATGAAGCGCTATCATACCTCAGTAGAGAGCCATCTGCCTTGCAATACAGAAGGCCCCAGCTTCAATCCCCACCATCTCCAGGTAGGGCTTCCTGGAATCTTGGAAAGTCACAGCCAGTCACTGTGGACAAAGCTGAGCTAGATGAAGGGATAGCACAATCGGTCGAGCATGAGACTCAATCTCAGGGTTGTGGGTTCGAGCCCCGCAGAAAGCAAAAGATTCCTGGACTGAATGACCCTTTATGGTCCCTTTCAATACTATGATTCCGTTATTCTATTGACTGCATTGAAGGCAGCTTCCAGTGTTCTATGTTGTTGTTGTTTAGTCGTGTCTGACTCTTCGTGACCCCATGGACCAGAGCACACCAGGCACTCCTGTCTTCCACTGCCTCCTGCAGTTTGGTCAAACTCATGCTGGTAGCTTCGAGAACACTGTCCAACTATCTCTTCCTCTGTCGTCCCCTTCTCCTTGTGCCCTCCATCTTTCCCAACATCAGGGTCTTTTCCAGGGAGTCTTCTCTTCTCATGAGGTGGCCAAAGTATTGGAGCCTCAGCTTCAGGATCTGTCCTTCCAGTGAGCACTCAGGGCTGATTTTCTTAAGAATGGATAGGTTTGATCTTCTTGCAGTCCATGGGACTCTCAAGAGTCTCCTCCAGCACCAGAATTCAAAAGCATCAATTCTTCGGCGATCAGGCTTCTTTATGGTCCAGCTCTCACTTCCATACATCACTACAAGCGCAATGCAAGTGAGGCAGGAAGCGGATGTGGCCGGAAAGGCAGTGAAAATGAGAAGTCGGGGGAAGCTCTTGGGTTAGGAAGAGGATAAGGAGCTACAGAGGTGAAGGGCCAGGGTGTGAGTAACCCCTTTGGGGGACGGGGGTCCCATTGCTCACCCCACCCTCTCCCTCACCATGATTTAACTATACGGCACAACAAGGCAAACCATCCAGTTCTGTGTAGAAATCTAGAAAAAGATTGTCTAGATCCTTCTGTGCATTCGGTGTCTAGCACAGAGGGTGGGATGGGGGGGGCACCTACTGTGATTCAAGCCCAACCTTCCACAATGTCCTCCAGACATTGTCAGACTCCAACTTCCACGGCCATTGGTTATGCTGATTGGGGCTGGTGGGAGTTGGAGTCCGACAATGTCTGGAGGATTAAAAGTATGCCGTTTGCAATAAACTTTGCATAAAATAGTTAATTTGCATTTAATTTAATTTGGATTTAATTTTAATGGTTCAAAGAACGTCAGGCAAAATTGTCGGCCCTCACTTCATCAAATCTGGCCCTCTTTGAAAAAAGTCTGGACACCCCTGTCCTAGAGTGCATGTCTACATGACTCAACCTTTATTAAAAGGAGCAGATGGTGGGAGGGGTGAGCATGAATTTAACGGCCCCCCTCCCTATCCATGATATACTGCTCTATCACCTTTCAGTCTCAAGTTGAAGTGTCTTCACAAAGGCTCAAAAAAAAAGCAGTGCTACACACTTAATTGAATCGCCTGCATATCCTGCTTGCTATTATCCAAATCCTTCAAGTGAACTAACAATAAGTGGGCTCCTCTAGTGAAACCTGATCTCAGGAACTTCACACATTTTAAAAAAGAAAAGAAAGTCGTGAATGGGTATATGAAAGCTTAAACGTTTCTGGTTCAGGTGGTGGTGGAATCCAATAAAAACCAAGGAACTGAGTTACAGGCAATAGATTTTATGTGAAATATTGTATGGGTCATGAAAGTATGATTTAAAAACTGCAGGGCTAGACAAGCTGGAGAATAAAAAGCACTACGAAGGGTGTGCTGGATAAAAGGTAATTGAAGGCAGCGAACCAGGAGTGTTTTTTCGGAGTTAATATGGGGGAAACCAGGCTGCCTTATGCCAGTGGAATCTGCCTGCGGAGCCATTAGTCAAGGAGATTAAATTAGATAATTGATCCAATTTACGGTCTGCAGACGAAGGGGTCAACTTAGACCAACCTTCCCAAACCTGTGCTGGCTGGGGCTGATGGGAAATGTAGTCCAGGACACCTGGAGGGAATTAGACCATAACATCAGAAGAGCCTGAGGGATCTAGATCAGCATCTTGTCCATGGGACAAGATCATGGGAAGCCTGGAACCTGAACACGACAGCAATCAACCTCTTGTGATTTCCAACCAACTGGTATTCAGAAGCATAACACCTCAGAAAAAGGAGGTGGAACATAGCAACTGATAGTTTTATCCTCCAGGTTGTGGGGAAATTGACTTAGACCAGTACACTGAACAGAGATAGGATCTTTGGCTTTCTTTGAAAACATGTAAACAGACATTGCTACCACTGCCATTCCCTTAAAAAACATAATTTTATTGTTGTTCGGGGGGAGGGGGGTTGTTCAGTTTCGTTTTGTTTTTCTCAGTTTGAGCCCACCCGCCATTTCAACAATCCACAATGCCCGCCCACTCCAATCTAGAGTGGTTAGACCTTGTGGCCCGCAACTGCTACCGCAAGCCTGACAGATCTGGGCAGAACCAGAGGCCTATTTCCCCAAGACTTGCCCTCCCTCCAAACCCAGAACCAGCTCAGTGCACAGGCATACTATAAAGCTGACACACACAGATGCATCTTGCCTGTGATACTGCCAGGGTCTATGGTTTTACCTTGTGCTCCATTGCAACAGGCTTCCCCAAACTGGTGCCTTCCAGACGCTGCTGGAAAATGGCTGCACCCACACAGCAGTTTATTCTACTTCGCAGCTATTTCTCTGTTTAATTTCTGCATTACGTTTGAGCTTTCGCGTGATGTAAAAGCCACTCCCAGGAAACTAATGGATCACAGCGCATGGGTTGGCATTCATTTCTGTGCAACCTCATCCCAGGGGTGGGATGGGGTGGGGTGGGGTGGGAACAAATCATTTGCAGCTACCTTAACCTGGAAAACTGTAGGAGCAAAGCAACAAACTTTGGGGCAGTATACTGACATACAGTTCTTTCCTGCTATTTTCACAGGAGAACAGATGCACACATGTGTGGAAAAGGAGATACAGTATTTTTTGCTCTATAAGACTCATTTTTTCCCTCCTAAAAAGTAAGGGGAAATGTGTGTGCATCTTATGGAGCGAATGCAGGCTGCACAGCTATCACAGAAGCCAGAACAGCAAGAGGGATTGCTGCTTTCACTGTGCAGCGATCCCTCTTGCTGTTCTGGCTTCTGAGATTCAGAATATTTTTTTCTTGTTTTCCTCCTCCAAAAACTAGGTGCGTCTTGTGGTCTGATGCGTCTTACAGAGCGAAAAATACGGTGATAACCGTAGAACTGTAGAGTTGGAAGGGACTATGAGGGCCTCCTAGTCCAACCCCCTGCAATACAAGAATCTTTTGCCCAACATAGGGCTCAAACCCACACCCAAATTAAGAGTCTCATGTTCTTCTGTCTGAGCTATCCCTAGACCCAGAGTAGCACTGCTGTCCAGTGACCTTTGTTGTGTCACACCACGCCCACTGGCGTGAATGACATTTAGAATGGCATGCTGGCATATCGGTCAAACGTGTCTGAACTTATCCTACAGTTCCCAGTGTCCCATGCTGCTGGGAGGGATGGGAGCCAGAGTCCAGAAATGTCTAGAAGGCAACAGGATTTATTAGAAGAGTCTGTCTAGCTTTCTGGCTGGTGTGACCTGTATGTTTTTGGATTCAAAGTGAGACACAAACACATCCTTTTGCACTCTTCATTGTGATCCTTTCCTTTATTGTGATCCAGGGGCATGTGCTGCTTAAAGGTATGTACAGTGGTACCTCTGGTTACGTACTTAATTCGTTCCGGAGGTCCGTTCTTAACCTGAAACTGTTCTTAACCTGAAGCACCACTTCAGCTAATGGGGCCTCCTGCTGCCGCCAGAGCACGATTTCTGTTCTCATCCTGAAGCAAAGTTCTTAACTCGAGGTACTATTTCTGAGTTAGCGGAGTCTGTAACCTGAAGCGTATGTAACCCGAGGTACCACTGTAGTTTCTGTTTGTTTGTTTTATCGGTGAACTGGCTACTTTTTAATACAGTATATGGCCCCAGTCCTATTTTTTATATATATCTTTGTTTCTGACAAAATCATTGTTAGCAGCCCATGGCTAGAACAAGTAAACATTTGATAAAATAACACAGAACTCATAAATGTCTCATCCTTCTTCACTGGAAGTCCACAAAACGCCCTCAGGAAAAGAAACATGATTGGTAGGTGGGGTGGGGTGGGGAAGAGAGAGAGAGAGAGAGAGGCTGAAACAGTTTTGACGAACTCTGAGTCGAATAAACTGAATTGCAGGAATAAATCAAATTGTGGGCAGAGGGAAAAATCCCTAAGCAGGATATCCTGGGAGATACGAGTTGTTGACATAAAAGTGTCAACCTGGAGCAGGTCGCAAAAGCCCCGTGGCTAAAGAACATAAGAAGAATCACAGAATCATAGACTGGCAAAGTTGGAAGGGGCCACAAGGGGCACTTCTAGCCCCCTGCAATGCAGTAATATTTTGCCCAACGTAGGGCTCAACCCACAACCCTGAGAATGAGAGCCTCACGCTCTACCAACGGAGCTATCCCAGCAAGCCTAGCAACTGGATCAGGCCAAAGACTAGCAGCCCATTCTCACAGTGGCCAACCAGATGTTTCTGGGAAACCCACAAGCACCAGCTGTTCTCCACACCTGTGATTCCCGGCAACTCTGGGGATTCAGAGACAAACCACCTGCAACAGCGGAGGAAGAATTGTAGCTAGTATAGTAAAAGCTATGGTTTTCCCAGTAGTGATGTATGGAAGTGAGAGCTGGACCATAAAGAAGGCTGATCGCCAAAGAATTGATGCTTTTGAATTATGGTGCTGGAGGAGACTCTTGAGAGTCCCATGGACTGCAAGAAGATCAAACCTATCCATTCTTAAGAAAATCAGCCCTGAGTGCTCACTGGAAGGACAGATCGTGAAGCTGAGGCTCCAATACTTTGGCCACCTCATGAGAAGAGAAGACTCTCTGGAAAAGAACCTGATGCTGGGAAAGATTGAGGGCACTAGGAGAAGGGGACGACAGAGGACAAGATGGTTGGACAGTGTTCTCAAAGCGACCAGCATGAGTTTGACCAAACTGCGGGAGGCAGTGGAAGACAGGAGTGCCTGGCGTGCTCTGGTCCATGGGGTCACGAAGTGTCGGACACGACTAAATGACTAAACAAAGCTAATGAAAGCCCTATGAATTTGTCCAATTCCCTGAAGAACATAAAAAGAGCCTGCCAGATCAGACCAAAGGCCCATCTAGTCCAGCAACCTGTTCTCAAAGTGGCCTTTGGGAAAGTCTGCAAGCACAACCTGACTCCCAAATGTTTGTGCCTGGCTGAAATGTGCCTCTTGCTTCCCTGCACAGAAGGCAGGAGCTGGTGCAGAAACAAGCCTAAGGTACAAAGGTAATAGCTGTTGCTCTGCCCACTTTTGCCTCAGGTCCCACCCACCTGGCCCCACAGGTCATGGCCAGAATGGAATGTGGCCCCCAGGCTCTGCTCTAACCCGCTGCATTGGACCTGTAAATGGACTGCATCTATGTAGACCAGGGGCCAGCAAACTTTTTCAGCAGGGGGCCGGTCCACTGTCCCTCAGACCTTGTGGTGGGCCGGACTATTTTTTTTTTGGGGGGGGGGGTGAACAAATTCCTATGCCCCACAAATAACCCAGAGATGCATTTTAAATAAAAGGACACATTCTACTTATGTAAAAACACGCTGATTCCCAGACCATCTGCGGGCCGGATCCAGCCCCCGGGCCTTAGTTTGCCTACCCATGATGTAGACTGTTAAAATGTTTTTTAAAGGGTTCCACTCAAGCTTCCCTCACCGCCTTAAAATCGGGGGTAGGTAGTGGAGGTTTCCAAGCTTGTAGGCGAGTTAAACACAGGAGAAGCCAGGGCACAGAACACAGACGGAAACCTAAATAGCCCGTTTGCATCATAAAAATAGCTCACCATCCTTCTACTCCTCCCACCCCCTTTTGGTTGGCCCTTTTTATTTATTTTTATTTTATTTTTAAAAAAACAGCAACCCGGAACAAACACCCTCTACAAAAGTTCCATTCAGGCAGCTGAGAGCAGCGTTCTCCTTCCATTGCAGATGTGCGTCTCTGTTCACACAATGGCCGCCTGCAGCCCTGGCTTCCGTCCAGAGCCTGCTGAGCGATGGCAACAAAAGGCTGATCTGGACACCCCTCGGCTGCAGCGCGTCTCCAAATGATTTAGTAGCCGCAGCGTCCAGGCCTTGGCAGCAGCTGCTGCAGCTTTTGAAGGGGGTCTCGCCTCCTCCTAGGCTGACAAAAACCTGAGTGATTCCTGCAGTGGCAAGGTATTGAAGCCGCAAGCCGCCTTGCCGTTACCTATATGAAGACAGACACACACACACACACACACACACACACAGACGTGCATATACACAAAACATGTTAAAGGTTGAAACCAGTATTCTGGATTTAGCCCATGAAACAAACCAGCAGGCACTGCAGATCGCACCAGACTGATAAGACTCAGTGCCCACCCTCTGGCTGGCATTTTACTGTGAGTGTATTTGGCAACAACAACAGTATAATAATACTAACCTGCAGTATTAGTCGTTCTGCTATGCTCCCCCAGTGCTTCCACATTATTGCTATCCAGAGGGGCTACAGCGCACAAAAAGCAGGGAAACCTCCCCCCCCCCTTGCAAACACACACACTGGCAAAATGAAAAAAGGGGGAAATGTGATGTTAGCAGGAAGCTATTGGACGCTCATGGATTAGGAATAAAGCACTATGATTGCCCCAAAACTATTGCGGATGGAAACAGTACTGAAATCAATGATGTTGTATGACCACCCCAATAGCATCCTGTACACGAATAATAATGAATGTACAATGAAAAGAATGTCCAGAGGGGCCCTCAGAAGGCTGGACACACAGCAGCCTCTAGTGACGGTATTTTGTGCTGAGTTGCAATTTCCACCTACTTTTCAAGGGCAACCCCATGCAGAACCTGTTGCCGTAATCTAGGGGTCAGCAACATTTTTCAGCCATGGGTCAGTCCACTGTCCCTCAGACCATGTGGTGGGCCGGACTATTTTTTTTTTGGGGGGGGGGGATGAACGAATCTCTATGCCCCACAAATAACGCAGAGAAGCATTTTTAATAAAAGCACACATTCTACTCATGTAAAAACACCGGGCAGGCCCCACAAATAACCCAGAGGTGCATTTTAAATAAAAGCACACATTCTACTCATGTAAAAACACGCTGATTCCTGGACCATCCATGGGCCAGATTTAGAAGGTGATTGGGCTGCATCCAGCCCGCGGGCCTTAGGTTGCCTACCCCTGCCATAATCTAATCCAGAGGTCAGACAGACATGAATGACCACATGAAGATCCAATTTAATTAGGAAGGGACATTATTGACAATCCAGCTGAAGCTGGAGATAGGCACCCCTTGCCACCAACAAACATATACAGCCTCTTCCTCTCTTGCTGTCTCTATCTCACATGCAGACACTTGCATACTTTCAAATCGGTTCCAAGAAGGGGCTTTGTGACTGGCACCAAGCGCAGCCTATTAGCAAGGTGCAAGGTGAGAAGAGAGGGGAGGAGGGAACACAGTGCCACGATTGACCCAACAAAGCAGCCAATGGTTTCTTCTCAGAAGAAAGTCTCCTCCTTCGCAGTATGGCTGAGGAAATGGAACACAAAGCCCAAATACAACTGTGCCATGGGTTTGCCAGTGAAATAGTGTACATCTGGATGCACCTGTAAGTGCTGGATGTAGCAGTGTGGGTACACAGAAAAACAAAGGGCAAAAGAGGCCATGAGGGTTAACTCCTAGAAGAATCCCCTTCTTGTGCTGAGATGAATGCACATCCCTCACTTACAGAGAAATGGAAAGTGCCATTCCATGCTGACTTCAGTGATGACACTGCAGTATGAATCTTGCCCAGTGCCTGCTAATGCAGCAAGGGCTTAGCTTAGTGGCAGAAGATCCCTGCTTCGATTCTCAGCATCTCTAGGTAAGGCTGAGAACATTCCCCCTCTGAAACCCTGGAGAGACACTGACTGGCAGTGTAGACAACACTGAGTTATATGGACCATTGGTAGAAAGCAGCTTCCTATGTCCTTAAAGATAGATTTCGGGGAAGAGTCATAGCCATGTGCCAGAATGTCTGTTTTGCATGCAAAAGTGCCTGGATTTCACCAGTGTAAGGCACTTTAGGGTTCTAAGTAACTAAGCTTCCTATGCCTGCCTGCTCAGGCTAATGGCTTTAGCCACCCGCTGATGGGTGAAAACTATGGCACTCCAAGCAGGCAGAGGAGCCAGTTGGCACTATGTGGTGCAGGAGGTAGAATGAGCTGGGATTACAGAGCAGAATGTAGCACCATTCTGCCTTTCCCCTGATTTGATGGATGCCAGGGCTTGATGGACACCCTCGGAAACTTCTGGCAGAGGGAAAGCAATGCTGGTTGAAGTTACGCCAGCTGAAGTGGTTGGCACCTCATGCCTCAGGATGAATAACCTGGAAAAAATACAGTTAACATAGGAAGGTATTCGCATGTCAGTGCGCAGCTTGGCTCTGGACACACTAAGCTATTCCAGGATTCTCAGCACACTTGTGCGCAAAACCGCTAGAAAGCCTTTCCACATGTTGACGACAGTGAGCATTTGGGTAACCTGCACATTATTTCTACTTCAGAGATCTTTTGTAGGTTATGATTTTCAAATTGTTTAATGCTCCTTTAACACTCAAGGGAAGTAACTGCACTTCTATGTTCTGCCTTGGTCAGGACACCACCTGTGTCCAGTACTGTGTCCAGTTCTGGGCTCCACAGTTTAAGAAGGATATTGACAGCTGGAATGTGTGCAGAGGAAGGCAGCCAAGAAGACCAAGAGCCTGAAAAACAAGCCTTATGAGGAAGTCGCATCTGTTTAGACTGGAGAAGACTGAGAGGTGACATGATAGCCATCTTCAAAAATCCGAAGGGCTGTCACATGGAAAATGCAGCAAGCTTGATCTCTGCTGCTCCAGAGGATAGGACCAAAACCAATGGATTTAAGTGGTAAGAAAGGGGATTCTGACTAAACACCAGGAATAGCTTTCTGATGGTAAGAGCTATTTGACAGTGGAATGAAACATTGGGAGGTGGTTGACTCTCCTTCCTTGGAGGTTTATAAACAAATACTCAATGGCCATCTGCAAGGGATTCCTTAGCTGTAATTTTGCATTGCTGGCGGTTGGAACAGATGACATTTGGGATCCCTTATGAATATATGATCCTATTAATTTTTTTAAAAAATAAAGAATTTCACATTTTTAAGTCTGCAGTTAGTTTTATTGATATCTTGATTTTTTATGCTTGCCAGAGCGGCATGTTAATTAGAGCCTCATTACTAGGAACTCGGTGAACAGGGTGACCTTGGGCCAGTCACATCATCTCAGCCTAACTTACCTCACAGGGTTATTGTGAGGGGGGAAATGAGGAGAAGGAAAAAATTCTACTCCACACTGAGCTCCTTGGGAGAAATATAGGATATAAATGTAATACAGTGGTACCTCGGG